TTTCAGCCTTCTCGATATGTCAATGCTGCCATTGCCTCTCTCGTTAGAAGGGCTTACTTACTATCATCTTCGCAAGAGCTGGTAAACATGGAGTTAGACAACATAAGTTTGGGGGTACGCACTGCTGGCTTTTCACGTGCAAAATTTACGCACGTGCTCAATATGGTAAAGAAATCACTGTTTCCAAGTACCACATTATGCAGCAAAAGAGAATTTTCAATGGTACAAACATCGTTGCCATACCTGGGACCCCTCTCTATACGTATCTGCAGAATCTTTAAGCAGCACGGCCTTATACTACCACTAACCCCACTTCCAAACCTACGCAAACTCATTTGTAATGATAGGGACAAATTTTCCACGCTTGAGAAGTCGGGGGTCTATGCTGTACCTCTGGAAAACCTTACAACGGGAGTAAATGCAAGATATGTCGGGGCCACTACTAGAATGCTTGCCAGCCGACTAGAAGAGCACCAAAACGATGTTGCGAGGGGTAGACACACCACCGAGCTCGCAAGAAAAGTACTTGAGCAGGGTTACAACCCGCTATGGTCCCAAGCGGTTATGCTCAAGAGCTGTAAGGATCGAAAAATCGTATTTATATGGGAGTCTCTTCTTACTACCACCTTGGACACGTGCAACATTCCAACTCTCGAGCTGCCCAGTGTATGGGTCACACTATACAAGCAATTAAGTAAAAATTAGCATTCTCCAGAATGCGTACAGTGTGTGTCTAGATCTGCGCATGCGCGTATTCGCACATCATGGAGCTTTCTGCTCGTTCGTTTTTCGAACATTTTTGAATATTTCTATCGTGTTCCTAACGACTTTTACTAAAGTTTCATCTTAAATTTAAGCGTTCTATTCCAAATCGGATTATTTCCGTTTAATTCTTTCGATAATTCGCCTGATGACGACGGCTATATGTTCGTCGAAAGTACTAGCGAATAAAAAACGCACACATAACGCCGACCTCAGTGCCTTCCCTTTTTTACAGTAGTTATTTCAAATTAACTTCAAATAAGATTTAAGTCTCAAACTATTATGATTATACTTTGAACATAAACAATAACTGCTATTTTCTATCCATCTCAATACAATCAAAACCTGAAGTACTTTCAAGTAGTTTGATATTATTAAAAATTGTGTGTAATGTAATATGAATAAAATAAAAATGTATTTAGAAATAAATTTTAAATTGAAATTTTACTTATATACACCTTTAAAAAACTGAATAAGGAAATTTAAGATTTAATACTGAAACAAAAATTTTTCACTATATTTCAAATTTATTACAACTACGAAGTTTAGATTACTAGAAAGTGACCTTCATAACTATCATTGACCTTGCTTATTAATTTTTCATGAAGGCCAAACTAACTTTTGTGAGGAAAACATTGAGGAAAATATAGCACTATTATTCATTACATATAAAATATATTGCTAATTAAGAATAATGAGAAAATCACAAACTATGAAAAAAGAATACTATGAAGATAGTTTTTCTAAGTATTTTCAATCTGCTGTAACCTTCCAAAGAGAATTATTATAACTCTTTTCCTATAAGAATCAGGCCAACCTAAAGAAAAGTAGAATCCAGTGCAAAACTATTGTGGGGCCTTGTGTAAAAAGTCAAATAGATGTTTTTTGCTATTAGACAGTTCATTTTTATTTGTAAGAAAAAAGACAAGACAAATAAATAATCTTTTCATTTACATACAAAATAAATAAATAAATAAATACACATTTCTATTTTATTTATTTTTTAATCTTTTCAAATCATAGAAATAGATCTGAAAAGACAAAAATAATAATTTTATTAGAAACATTAAAGAATACATTCAACTCAATTGGTAACATTATTCAATTAAAATGATTAAACTGATGTTCTTGTGTTCAATTTATTAACATATATTACAGAAGAGTCTTATTTTACATGTGACTGATATAATTAAGTGGCAAATTGTTAACTCACATCTAGTGCACTGAATCTGATTTTTAAGTCTGAACTACATTTCTCCAGCTTTTGACTTTCCAATCACAGAGAACTACTGAATGCTACTCACTGCAATAAATATCCTGGTTTGAGTGTATTTTTTTCAAGTAGTATGCTTGATATAATATAATAAAATTTTGCTCTGTAAATTCAGAAACATTGGTCTAAAATGTAATTATAATAAAAACATAAATAAAGCATTTCAACATTTTTCTAATAGGTGTAAATGGTTGCATAAATGCCTAGGCAATCATTTGGGACTGTAAGCTTAAGGCAGATACCATGTAAAATGAAATTCTACATAAATTTAGAATTTCATTTGACAGTATCTGCTAACACAATCTCTATGTTAAACAAGGTCGTACTGTATGTATTTTCTTAGCATAATGTTTCTGTTGGAAACAAATCACAAAGGAACACTTTCAGTGGAAAAAGGCTGGTTTATTGGTAGGAACGAATATGCATTTCGAGCTTAATGCTCCTCTTCAGAACATTATGCTAAGAAAATACATATAGTAGAGAGATCATCAAGCAACCAAGATATAAGGTCATACTGTAATTGTTATATAATATTTTAAAAGAAATATAAGTTATACAGTTTATAATGAATGATTATTGAGAAAAGTAACATCCACCAAAACTTTTTTAGGTACTTATCAGTTAAATCCCACATTCCAATGTTGTGCTATGCTCTTTTAAGTTGCTTATAAAATGACACAACCTACTTATATTATGATTTCAAGTGAGGAATTTAGCATGAAAAAATCTAAGTAAAAATTGTATATTTCTAAAATTTAAAGATTTTTAAAAATCAAAATTAATTATTTTGAAAAACAATTTATATTGCAAATTGCACTGTTACCAGTTGGTATACAAGTTAGTCCATTAGTTCAGTATTTCAGGTTAGATTTACTGTTGAAAAGAATGATGATGATTTTGTTAATTATTTTCAATTTGTGTAAGAATGAATGAACAAGATTTCATTTGTACTCTGAAGGAATATTATATATATTATATTTTGAATGATTTTCAAAAATTATAATAAAATGTAATGTTAAGAGTGTTAAAAGTCAAAATGCAGCTGTAACAAAGAAATAAAAATTTTATTTAACCACTCAGGTATTGCTGTTCCAAGGAGACATGAAACTTCCAGAGACTTGTAAGCTGAACACTAAATTTTCTGAGGCCTGTTTTTCAGAAACATTTAAGAAGCAGGTCTTATTCTTTGGACAAGGAGCTGTTTGTGTTTAAGGCTACATGCTCACCAAGTTTTGTTCAAATTGGAGACCTGGATCCTCTCCTTATGAGTGAAGGAAAGCAAGTAGCATTCCTTTAAATTGTCATTCAAGCAGTAGTAAATATTTTAATATTTACTTTTATTACTAATAAAGTACATAATTTTAATATTATTTTATAATAATAATTTTGGTTACTTTTAAAATAAATTTTGATTTTTTGAATATTGTGCTTTATTGTAACAATATTGTAAAAAGTACTTAATTGTTATATTTTAGAAAACTTGTTTTATTTTCAAATAAATTTTCAGTTTGAATAGAATTCTTTTTTTGAACCTGATATCATATGATGCCGTATGAGATTGCATAACACTGGAACACAAGACATGACACAATGAGAAATGCAGGGAGTTTAACTAATAAATATCTATTTTTGAATAGAAATATATTCTGAAAGTTATATTTCCATAAATGATAAAATGAGTTTTCAGAAAACAATCACAAAAAAGAATAATTGATTTGAAGTGTTACGCCACCATAATTAAAAAAACGAAGAGAGTAATTATCATTTTTAAACTTTGAAAACAAGTATTAAGTTTGTTAATGAATCCAATATTTTTGGGCAGAAATCATGGACAAATGTAGCATATATTGAGACTGGAAGCGAGCTGTAGAGCATATCAATAGGAACAAACAAGTCAATGGAACCATGCACATACAGGCGACCCTTCGCAAGATATAGGCCCCTGAAAATGATTATGTGGAAAATTTGGAATTAATTTAGATTTTTTTCTAAAATAATAATCTTAAACACAAATAACAGATTGTAAGAAAAATATTTCTTTATTCATTATTACTAAATATATACTATTGCAATAAACATCTAATAGTTACTTTAAATAATATAAGATTTCCTATGAAATTTTGTATTCTTAAACATATTTTAAATTAAGACAAACTTAAAATATTGGAAGAAAAATCAGTTTTAAGTATTATACAAAAACTTAGTATAACTTATGCGAGAACTTTTACCTAAATATGTTACATAATAAAAAAACTCTTCTGTTAAATGAGTAATATCGGAAATGTTATTAATTTGTAATCAGTCTGCGTTATAAAATACAAGTAGCTAACTTATGAATTAAAATCTATCTCCATTATTATAAAAGCATTTATAACTTATTTTCAATTATTCTTTTTGATTTATTTTGTATTTAACATTTCATTTTCTAATAAAAACAACATTTGAAAATAAAAAAAGAAAAATATTGCAGAATGTAAATAATTTTTTAAAAGTTTAAGATAGTTAATTGATATGTTTTATTATTTGCAAAAATAAGATTGAATATACAGCTTATGTTAGCAAATGTAAAATTAAATATATCTGAAATTGCAATATGTATCCTGCTCGAGATTAATAAGCAGAAAATATTGTTGACAAATGGAGAAGCTTACAAGGAAGTTACTTCATAACTTAAATCTTCAATTTATATAACTTAATGGTACAAAATTTGCAAATTAATATCTTCAAAATAGTCATTGTGTTAATAATTCTCAATATTTTCACAATCTCATTAAAGTAGACTCTAAATAATATATTACGAGTGAAGCAAAGGAATTCATAACTTATAATAAGAAGTGTGATTAATCACGATGAAATCAGTGTTATTTTTACATACTTATTACTTACCTCTTTTGTCATTTTTAGGCCAGAAATAATAAGTACAAGGAATAACAACAAGTGCTTCGAACGATAATAAAAAATAAAAAAAAGTGCCTCCACTTTCATCGTATTGAAACTTAGCTCCTGCCATGTTGTATTACTTGTCCGCTGGACAACATGGCACTTTTACTTCCCGCTACGTGGTGCTTTCTTCTTCCGGTAAAGAAAAAAAGAATTAGGTACTTATCAGTTAAATCCCACATTCCAATGTTGTGCTATGCTCTTTTAAGTTGCTTATAAAATGACACAACCTACTTATATTATGATTTCAAGTGAGGAATTTAGCATGAAAAAATCTAAGTAAAAATTGTATATTTCTAAAATTTAAAGATTTTTAAAAATCAAAATTAATTATTTTGAAAAACAATTTATATTGCAAATTGCACTGTTACCAGTTGGTATACAAGTTAGTCCATTAGTTCAGTATTTCAGGTTAGATTTACTGTTGAAAAGAATGATGATGATTTTGTTAATTATTTTCAATTTGTGTAAGAATGAATGAACAAGATTTCATTTGTACTCTGAAGGAATATTATATATATTATATTTTGAATGATTTTCAAAAATTATAATAAAATGTAATGTTAAGAGTGTTAAAAGTCAAAATGCAGCTGTAACAAAGAAATAAAAATTTTATTTAACCACTCAGGTATTGCTGTTCCAAGGAGACATGAAACTTCCAGAGACTTGTAAGCTGAACACTAAATTTTCTGAGGCCTGTTTTTCAGAAACATTTAAGAAGCAGGTCTTATTCTTTGGACAAGGAGCTGTTTGTGTTTAAGGCTACATGCTCACCAAGTTTTGTTCAAATTGGAGACCTGGATCCTCTCCTTATGAGTGAAGGAAAGCAAGTAGCATTCCTTTAAATTGTCATTCAAGCAGTAGTAAATATTTTAATATTTACTTTTATTACTAATAAAGTACATAATTTTAATATTATTTTATAATAATAATTTTGGTTACTTTTAAAATAAATTTTGATTTTTTGAATATTGTGCTTTATTGTAACAATATTGTAAAAAGTACTTAATTGTTATATTTTAGAAAACTTGTTTTATTTTCAAATAAATTTTCAGTTTGAATAGAATTCTTTTTTTGAACCTGATATCATATGATGCCGTATGAGATTGCATAACACTGGAACACAAGACATGACACAATGAGAAATGCAGGGAGTTTAACTAATAAATATCTATTTTTGAATAGAAATATATTCTGAAAGTTATATTTCCATAAATGATAAAATGAGTTTTCAGAAAACAATCACAAAAAAGAATAATTGATTTGAAGTGTTACGCCACCATAATTAAAAAAACGAAGAGAGTAATTATCATTTTTAAACTTTGAAAACAAGTATTAAGTTTGTTAATGAATCCAATATTTTTGGGCAGAAATCATGGACAAATGTAGCATATATTGAGACTGGAAGCGAGCTGTAGAGCATATCNCTGGAGATCGTGCAGGCCAAGGAAGTGTGGCAACGTTACGTAGGCATGCTTGGGAGACCGCTGCAGTGTGTGGCCGGGCATTATCCTGCTGGAATATGCCTGTCGGAAGCCCTGCCATGAGGGACAACACATGTGGCTGGAGGATGTATTGCACATATTGTTGGGCTGTGAGGGTAGTACGCATGACAACTAGAGGTGTCCTACTGTCGTATGTTATGGCTCCCCACACCATAACACTGGGGGTTGGGCCCGTGTGCCGCTCCACAGTATAGGCCGGGTTGACACCTTGACCAGTGGGCCGCCATACTCTCACACGGCCATCGTGAGCCCACAAACAAAAGCGGGATTCGTCACTAAATACAATATGCTGCCAGTTGGTAGCAGTCCACGATTGTCGTGCACGACACCACTGCAGACAGAGGCATCGGTGGGTGGCTGTTAACGGTAGAACACATACCGGGCGTCGGGAGATCAATCCGCCTTCTACTAAGCGCTTGAAATGGTGCGGCTGGATACATGATTCCATAATGCAAGTGTCACCGCTGCATGAATGGTAGACAATGAAGCTGTAGGCGCTGTCCGTGCCTGACGTACGAGACGATCCTCCCTTCTGGTGGTCTGTCGACAGCGTCTGGAACCCGTTTGCTGTTCGCGTGTACCCCTACTTACCCACTGCTCATAACACATCCTAACAGTTCTATCAGAACGGTTCAGATGGCGGCCAATCCGGCGGTATGACCATCCTCCTTCTCTCAATCCAACGATGCGACCTCTCTCAAACTCACTTAACTGAGTGTAAGGCTGTCAAATGCGTCATAGAGGCATGTCTGTCACTCAAAGAAGTCAAAACCATGAATAAAAGCGCAGAACATATGCACAAGTCGTCACAGCGTGCACCTTTATACCAGGCAGCGGAAACATTTTTTCCCCTCTGGTGGCGATATAACATAAGAACCTACTCTCAAAAGCTAATCATTTACATATCTAGCTAAGATGATGCAACATATCAATTTTTATTCAGATCTAACAAGTCCTTCATGGTGCGTTATTTTTTTTGTCGTCCAGTGTAT